CAGCATGACACCCACATTATAAATGAGATACCTGCATCTCAGAATAGTGAGGAAATTCTCCCATTGCCTAAATTTTAAAGTACAGTACAACTTCTATAAAAGCATCTGTACAGTTCTAAGAACCACAACTTAAAAAAAAACCAAAAACTCTGGAAGTAGTAATTTAGCAGCGAGAGATTTAAGGGGGCACTTGAGGAAAATCTCAGACTTTGCCGATGAATTTTCCTGGATCACTTCAACAGGCATGTAGTAAAGGCCACCACCTGAATCTTGAATACCTGTGGTGCTGGTGTTCAACAAAAAACTAAATCACCAAACATGCCTCAAATTATTCAAATCCTCCTTGTCACCAATCTGCCAAAGACAAAAAGAAAGTACAGACAATTTGGTGCTTGAAATAACCTGAGTGTTCCCACTGAATACTTCCTTATTATAGAATACAGTAAATGGTTTATTGAAGTTGATTCAAATGCTTATAAAGCATTTTAAGACTGATCCAAATATAGCAGGCAATGTGGGAATACTGAATTAAATTTCATGGAGGTACAAGAAAGTATTTTACCTCTTCTCATTAGAAAGAAAATTCAACAAGTTACTGTTTTTAGGAATCACATTCAAGAGCTTGTAACTAAAGGAACAGAGCAAGAAATCCTAGCTCTGTGACTCACTCTATAACCCTGATTCCAAAGCCCTTTCTTGCTTCTTTGCCAGTTTCTATAAAACAAAGTACAATCCATATACTTATGCCCAAGACTCCTGTGAGGAAAGTGAGTAAAATAGGTGCTGGGCTTTGACAGAGGTGGTTGAAAGGCTATATATTTTTTGTTAGTTTAATAGCAAATTTATAAGATCTTTTGCAATATTAAGGTATTAACTGTTGAATACAGCATTAATATGGAATTAAATAACACCAAAGAAAATTTTAAAAAATATTTTCAGACTTGGTGAAGTGCTAAGTCCATAACAATAATACATTTTGGCAAACAGCCATTACTCTACAAGCAGACAGTAATAACACTTGAAGGAAAACATCAGTAGAGCTGATACAAAATGTCCCAAAGACAGAGCCCACAGCGAAGGTTCAGGAGCCCTGGTGGCGCAGTGGTTAAGAGCTATGGTTGCTAACCAAAAGGTTGCCAGTTCAAATCCACCAGCTGCTCCTTGGAAATGGGGCAGTTTTACTCTGTCTATTGAAAGACTATGCTCGAGTACAGTCAACTCTTAATTGCCTAAGCTAATGTTGTTAGGTGCTCATAACAACCCTATGTACAACAGAATTCTACCCGGTCCTGTGCCATCCTCACAATCATTGTTATGCTTGAGCCTATTGTTGCTGCCACTGTGTCAATCCATCTCATTGAGGGTCTTCCTCTTTTTCGTTGACCCTTTACTTTGTAGAGTTAATGTAGAGAAATTAATTT